CTAGAAATTAAGGACTTTCCATAAATCAAAGTTTTATTTTTATTTTATTTTTATTTTTTTCCCAAGTCAAATGGTTAAAATAATCGATGAGTGTGTTTATTTGATAATTTAGGTCAAATTGATTTCATTTTAACGACATAAATTATCAATTAGTTATTTGAGTTTGAACGTCAGAACCACGTTAATATTTATGGTAAGAAATAAAATTTGATAATATTAAATATATAAATTTGAAAAAAAGTTAAAAATGAAATTTTTACACCATTGCATGAGCATAAAAGTCTTCAAGAACAAGTAATTTGGGGAGGAAAAAAAAAAAAACAATTTTGCTATCTGTTAATTTCATTAAATGTTTTATGTTTCTTTTTAAAACACGTCGACCAAACATAACATATTGCGTCATATTACCAATTACGGTTATAAAACGATTCATGGTTTCGAGGACATTACCATAATTTATTTTTTAAAATCTGACCTAAAATAAAAATTAATTAAATTTTTTTTTAACTGTGGATGATTATCATCACAAATTAATACGAGTTCTTTTAACATGTTTTCTGAGGAAATTTCAGGAGATCACTCAATATGGGATTGTTTCAAGTCAACTACGTTCGACTCTGGATTCTTATGATTGAACCAAGGCACTCCTTGTTGGTTTAGATTGTGACTATCAATTCTTTTGGTTTAGATAGTGATCTGGGTTCATTCATATATATCTTGTTTGCTCGACTGTCTCTACCAATTTTCAAAAACAACAAACCAAACCGTTATCGATCGGATCCGATGTTAGGGTTGATGGGATGATGAAGGTGGCTCCCACATGGTGAAATGGGGTGTACAACTATGACTTTACAGTTGGGAGGCAGCTTTGGGGTATTGAAGAACAAAGCATTTCAATGTTTGTTAAGTATAATTATGGGGAATAAAAGAATGAGATTATTGTAAGATTAGGTTAAGTATTATTTTTAATTTACTAATTATACTAAATAATGGAATTCTATAATATATAATATTTAATTAAACTTCATTTCTTATGAACATGTTTTTCATATAGCTACGAAAAATTTATTTATAAAATATTGATATAATAATACATTTTAGTTTTTATATTTAACAATAATTTGATTGAAAAAACTTCAATGAATATATTGAAATGTAATATAATAAGGAATTATAACGGTTCTTATTTTTTGAGTTCCAATATTTTAAAACGTTAATAATATTATTTCACGAGTAAAATAAATATCTAGAAAACGACACCCTCCCAAAAATGGTAAGAAATAAGTATAATATTCACTTTTTAAAAATATATATATTTATTGTGACACGTAAGTAAAGAAGAGATACATGAATGAACGGAGACTATATCTGAATGAAAGAGGTTCTGAGGATAAAAATAATTAAGAAATGCTTAAAGGAAATGAAAATTACTATTGATACCAACAAAATGTACCTTCCTTTTAGTTTGATTATAGGAACTCCGTAGTCAAAACGTGTTTGTTTGGAACATTCTATGTTGGGTTGACTTCTTGAAAATTTTGTTAGGATGCATGTGAGTGAGAATAAAGTAGGTTGGAATGACTCTTATTAGTCTGTGAAGATAGTTTTTTCTCAGCAGTCAACGTGACCATGTCATAATGAGAGAGGGAGAGGGGTAAAATAGGGATTTAAGAAAAATACGTTGAGAAGGAAAGGCAGGTACGAGGTATAAGGGTATTTTAATGAGGGTTGTTTCACTTTAATACTTATTATTATTATTATTTATAATTATTATTTATAATTATTCATTTTATGAGTTAATTAATTAATTATCAAAAGAAGCAGTTGACGGGGAAATGCAAAGTTGGGACAGTTGACCAATGACGTGGCTCTAGAATTGCCGTTGATGTAACGAAGGAAGTTAGAAAGTGGGTCCCGGATTTTGTGATCGGACGGCCGAGACCTCACTGTTTAAAAGTACCGTAGAAAAATATTTAAAAAATCAGTGGGGCCCACATATACCGTACCCACTTTTCCCGCTATTGTTATGCTCTTGGTTTTCTAACTAATCCGGAACATAAGGACATTTCTAACCGAATACTAAAAAAAAATATTTATTTATTAATTTAAAAACAAAAACAAATTTATCGATAAATTTATATTTTAGTTTGGATTTGATTTTTTTAAAAAGATTAAAATGTGTGATTTAAATAATTTTTTTTATCCTCCAAATTGTACATATATATATTATTTAGTCGGTAAAATTTTCAAAGAGACAGATTTACCCTTTAGTAATAAAAAAATAGGATAACTTATAATTTTATTACTAGACCTAATATTGACAAGGATCCTCATTTATTTTTCGTATTTATTTTTCGGCATTTTCAAGTAATGTTAAATTTGTGGTTTGATTAAGCTAATTAAACAAATTAAGATAAGTGAAACCTCTTACTCCCTTGCCTCTTGCATCTTTCGCCAACCCACCACCCTGCCTGCCGCACCCCGGTGGTCTCCTCTGATGTTCGCCGCCTGCGACACCGCCTCGGCTCCTCCTCGTTCCATCGTCGATCTACAACGTCACCTGTCGTTCTCTTTATTTTCTTTTGCAGTTCTCTCTGTCGGAGTAATTGCCCGCCGCCGTCATCTCCGCACAAAGCCATCACAACTCTTCCATATTGCGCAAGGCCGACCGTGGGCTGTGGTAGTTTTGACCGGTTATATTCAGTTTCATCCCTTTTTGAGGTTGGTTATTTTTTGTATTGCGCATGCATTGTCTATGTTATCATAAAATCAACTATACAAAAAGAAGATCGGGACGGTTACATAAATAATAATAATAAAATATTTTATTTAAATTGAAGAAAAAAGAAATCGAGTATAGTTTTCTTAAATAAACTTGTTTTTATTAAAGTTTGAAACATGAAATTAGAATTATAGTTTTGCATATTAATTGAAATATTAGGATTGCGTGACTTACACCACTATTTATTTAATTATTAAAACCAAACACAAATTTAATTAATCCAATCATATATTAAAAAAATGAAAAAAAAATAAAATAAATTTTGTCATAGTTGACTTTTTTATATAATGGAGCGTCACTATCATAGAGCCTTTGAAAAATTATCAAATAATTGTTTTATTTTAATAATTAATCAATTTTAGTTTACATGAGTTCAGCTAATTAAACTTTGAAAATGGTATGAAATAACACGTACGCAATTGACCAAATTAGATATTCCTTTGTAAAAAATATTTTAAAAAATTAAAAAAATCGTTTTTTGAAATAAGAAACTATTGATTATTTATTTATATTTATTAGTTTAAAATCTTAATTTTCTCGATATTCTTAATTTCAACCCCAAAGTTGACAATGAAATATAGGGGGACAAAGCACTCTTAGTTGAAGGCTATTATTTAATATTATTTAAAAATTTATAAGATTAAATTATTTATTAAAAAAATTAGATTTTTTTAATGAAAAAAGTATTTTGTTTTGCAATTTGATGTAGTGGCCAAGAATATTCAAAGTAATTAATTTCAGTGGAAAAGAATAATCGAAAATAGACACGACCAAATTCATTGTACGACAACATATAATTTATGAAATAAAGTTGTCGAAAAATACATCAATTTTCTCATGTTCTTTGACTTTATTTTTAATATATCAAATTTAGTAAATGTTTTTAATTCAATATACTCTATTTTTAGGAGCATGGATTCTTCAAGAAATAATTAAACGTAGGAATTTTTTTTTAAAAAAAATCCATGAATAAATGCATTAAAAAAAATGGTCGGTCGGTTCCCAAAATGATGATATATATATATATATATACTTAATTTAAATACCTTTTTTTAATGAAAAAAAAGGTATTTTTTAATTATTAAAACACTCTTTATTTTATAATGTTTGACTTTTGAGATTTTAATTATAATTTAATTTGGGTACGTTTAAATTACTATATTGTGATTTTAATTTGTTTCTTAGTTAATTACCTTTTGGAAAAAGTCATTCTTAGAAAAGCGATTTTAAACTAATTGATTATTTCAAAAGACATTTTTATCAAACACTAATTTTGTTTTTTTAGGGAAAAAAAAAACACATTAAATTTACCTGAAATTATTAAAAATCACTTTTAAATAATAATTTTAATTATCCAAAATCAATAAAATTGACTTTAAACATATAATTTTGAAATTATTAAAATCACTTTTTGACATTCAAACATATTTTTAATATCCAAAATATAAGTTCGAGAGTTGTCTCCTATCTCTACCTCTAGCTATTCTTTACTCATCCACCTGTGTGTCGGTTTCGAGTACATATACCCTTTTGTTGGAACACGGGAATATGACATAAGTTTACTATTTATCCCTCTGTTAGAAATATTCTAGAAATGTATACAATCGAGTAAATAGCACGAGAAACGAACGAATTAATATCATATGCATATATTGGGCCTGTGGCCCAGTATGATCATGCCCATCATAACAATTGAGTACAAAAGAAGAAAGAAATCCCTACATATTTATCATTTTCCTATATATATATATAATATATATATATATATATATATATATATATATATATATATATATATAAACAAAAATGTAAATTAATAAAAAAAAATAAGAGGTGGGCGTATATTTGAAAACAGAGCCCAGAAAACGGAGAGTTTTGGTTAATAATGATAATATTTAAAAACCAAGCAGATAAGGAACAAAGCAAGTGGACCGCCAGAGATAAGCTTTCACTACACATAACAGACCAGACAGCCTCCTCGTGTCTCGCATCAAACATGTCCTTAAAACATATCACTGTCCCTAAATTCCTCCACACCAAACAACCACATGCTAAGAACACACAAATTCTAAATCCGAAAGCCTCCGTCGCTCCCGACCTCGACTGACAGCCTATCGTGTAGTATGCACGATCGCTTCCTTGTCCGATGGACGGGTGGATGAGCTAGTTTTTAGACGAAACTAATACATACATCATTACATTACAAGATGATTTATAATGGGAGGGAGCTTAACAGCATTTTATGGACATATGAAAAGAGTTTAACATGATCCACAGAGGAAGGAAACAAAAGAAAAAACACATAAAAGAACAAAAAATCAGACACTCTAGATTCACGAAGCAAACAAGACTGTGCTTTTGCTTTTTTTTTTTTTTTTTTTTTTTTCCCTTTCTTCCCTGCCTTGATTAGATTATCTAACTGAGAGACGAATGCAGAAAAAACAGCGATACCATGGTGATGTCGATGATGTCGATGACGGTCGTTCCAAGATTATGGGAGGGGAGCTGCAGACATTGGTCGGTAATCAGGCTCTTATCACAACATACAATCTGTCTTTGCAGGCAGCCTCCTGAAGAAGTTGAGTGGCACAGAGGGGAGCTTATGCCGGAATCTGGGGTGTCTCAACACATAAAATCCAGTCAGCAGCGCCACAACTTGGAACGGTGTAACGTATAAGACAATGGCAGCAACAAGACAGAACAGAACAAACAGGGCTGTCGCTCTCGGGTCTCTCCAGCTAAGCAAGGACTGCAGCCTTTCTCCTTGAGTCGCCAAATCGCCAACAACGGTCTGAATCCTCCCAGCAATGCTCCTTAGTCGGTCGTACCTCATCCTCACTATGTCACCAGGCCTCGATGTCGGGAATGTGTCAAATTCTTCATCGAGTTCATCAGGGTGTGCAGAGTCTGCGTGTGACAGACGGGTGTCCATGTGTGGCGGATGCCTCGGCCTCCATCGGTAGTACCAAACTCCGATCAAGAACAGGTAGAGGAAAATGGTGGGCAGGATGAGCTCGGGGTACATGACGAGTATTATGAACAGGATGTGTATCAGTACGGTGGTAATCGGGTTTTTCCAGTTGCAAATTTGATCAAACCATTTCCCTACTGCTATTAATCCACTTAAAACTCCCATAATCCTGAAGAAATTCGCTTTGCTTCTTCGCATACTCCACATGTGGGAGCCGACGTCCAGCATATATTCGACTACCTCTTTCCTCAACGGTGGCTCGGCCCGGCTCAGTCTAATCGATACAATCTGAGTCGCCTGATGCCTTAAGCTATCGAGCTGGCTCACGGTCAAAGGATGAATGTAATGCATTTTGGGAAGCAGAGGATGTGTGTACATATGCATCATGTTCAGTAAGGATGAGCAAGTGAACCTCACTGCCAAATGTATCTCACCCATCTTCTTCACTCCATTTTGATGTAAAACTAGAAGAGGATACGAATGTGTGTAAACCCGATCCGTTTCGAGAGTTGAAAGACGTATCCTCACCTTCCCGATCCGTGAATCTTTCGTCCCTGCACCTTTATCTCCGTGCAAATGACAATTATCAAAAACACCGATCGTAACCACCGTACAAGGATCAAAAACTTCCCAAGTGTACTGCTCATTCCACTTCGGTGTGAAGCTATCGATGATCGTCCTAGTTCGAACCCACTTCTGCCCGTATTTCGCTACACAATATGCATCTGTCGTCCCACGACCGTCTTTAGTCTTCATAGGCATCAGTCCCTGAGCGTTGAGGACACCCAACTCCAACACCCCAATGCTCTGCTTCCACAATACTTTCGCCGTAGGTCGAAGATCACTGCTGTAGTGTGTAGATTCATCCAAAACATGGTAACCGCCTTCCAAACAGATCCTCATATGAATTCGGCTAGCGAACTTGAGTTCTTTTTTCTTTTCGCCTTCAAGGACGACATGCTTCTCGAGATTGAACCATTTGCTGTTGATGGGTTTATGGTCCAATCTCCGGTCAACGTATTGCAAAGGAATTGCACATCGACCAAGGGTTTCATCCTTATTTGGAGCAACACGGTCCTCAACGTTCAAAATCAGTGGTTCCTCGAATGGTTCTGCAGCTACAAACATCAAATCCTCATTCCACATAGGATTGATTGTTCTGTTCTGCGAAATTCGTGTTCTCAAAGCTTGATTTCCCAGGATAGCCTTCACAAAGACTTCCGGGTATCGACCCTTATCAGTAGGCTGTAAGTCCTGAGCTTCGATGACGTTAACCCGTAAATACCAGAGCTTGGGTGAAAGATACACCTTCGATCGGATATTCGCTAGACCATCGGTTCCACTAACGGTCGCAGCATCTGAATGCCACGCTTCAGGAAATGCTTCATCAGCTTGAGTGCCCATCCAAACAGCCAACATTAGCTCTCCTTTCAGTTTAACGCCTTTTTTGTCGTCCAATCTATACCATTGAGGAGCCAATGGACTGTCGGGTGGAACACGTTTTGGAATCTCATTCATGTCGAATAAAACACGACCCATGAAATCATCCTTCACAAAATCTTTATCCTTCACAGTAACCTCAAGCACTGAAGACTGAATCCGATCTTTCGAAAACGCAAAAACCTGGTTCCATTCAGGATTTGACTTCTTCTCAAAATGTCGAGTCGTACCCTTGTAGTTTCCGAGCTTTACTTCCACATAAGGGTCACAGCTGCCTGTAGCATCCTTTCCAGGCAAATCTCTCGCTTTTACAACACGAACGTAGAGATACTGCATTTGCTCAACGAGGTCATACGTGCTCGTGAGCTTATCTCCGGTGACCTTACCCCCACCAAGATGGGGATTGGTCTCCTTCAATAGAAAGTCCTCCGGTGGTGGCCTCTGCATCATCTCGGTGATACGGAAAAAGACCCGAATCTGAAATAACTAGCAGTCGAAAACAGTCCGATTTCCTCACAGAATCTGAAGCTGAATCCAAATTATGTCAAAAAGTTCTCAGAAGCCTATAAAATAAGGAAGAACAGAAGAATAAAACAAAATCAGCTAGCCGTTACAGTAAGTGAATAGATTAAGATCGCCTCAAACTATGAAAATTTTAAACCAAAGTTCCTTAAAAGACTCGAAATATTAGCAGTTCTAGACACAGACATGCAACATCGAACTCACAAAATTAAAACACAAAAGTAGCTAAGCTATCCCAAACTATTTTGAATATCAACAACTCAAATGGATTAAAAAAATACAAAGATCTTATAACTTCATAAAATAATATTACCTCAAAAGTAGTACAAAGAAATCCAAACAGTTCCTGTCGGATAGTATCAGATCTATGTGCCAGAACCCTGAACATTCCAAAACAGAGAAATCCACAAAATTAAACCAAACCACACAGGCTTTCATCTAAAGACACCACAAAAATGCAAAAACCCAGAAGAGAAATTATCCTTCAAGCTCAAGATTACTACGTTATCATCCACAAGAAATGACAAAAACAAAGACAGCCATGAAAGTAGCGGCGAGTTCGTCATTTTCTGGAAACAAAAACAGAACATCGTGTGTAATGCTAATTACGCCACACCCAAAAGAAGCATTTGGGTTTCGAGAACTTTCTGGACACTAATCAGGGTTTAGTTTCGAAACCCACAAAAACCCAAAACGAAATTTCATCTTCCTTTCAAGAAATTTCCCAAGAAACGTACAGAGCCAGAGAAAAAACAGAGCGTTAAAGCCACTAACAAGAACAGAGCATATCGTATCCCAAAGAAAACACGATTAAGCCACACAAACACAAAGAAAAACCAATCACAGCGAGGATTTCACACGAAAACGAAAAGGATCATGCAAAGCCATTGAAGATTAAGAGAGCACCTAAAATGGGGTGAGGGCGATTGAGAGGGATTTTGGAGGGAAAAAAATCATCGCCGACAGAACCCCAGGAGAGGAAAAGAGAAAGTGGTGATGTTTAACGAAGAGAAGGGAATGAAGGGGTGAGGATAAAGAGGGAAAAGAAGGAAAAGAAGAGAAAAGGAGAGGGGGAAAGCAAAGGAAAGAGGGGTTTGCAGAGCAGGAATGCTTTTGCTTTTTGCAGAATTTGCTTTATGGGTTGGGATCTGATGAATCTGCGAGAAATATACAGAAATTGTTAGGAGGGGTGGAGAGAGTATTTAGTATGGAAGAGGTGGAGGTGGAGGGGCCCAAAGAAGCGTGTGAAGAACCACCATGGGAGCTCACAGGTGCGGTGGATATCTATCTCTGTTGCTTTGGGCTAATAATTAAAACACTTAAAACATGGAATTAACAACTCTTCTTCCATCTTCATCTCCTCCTTCTCTACTGCGTTTCTCTTTTTTGTTTTCTCGCTCTCCGTGTGACTTGGGGAACTGTGAAAAATGATGAACAGTGATGGATTAAGTTGAATTGGGTCGGTTCCAGGGACGAATCAAATGTCTTTGGATTCTTTGTTTTTTTGGTATGTGTGAGTATTTCATTTGTTGGTATAGTTCCATTGGATAAGACATACTCATTTCATGAGTGGATATTTTAAATTTGGTACTAATTTGGGAAGCCAGAAGACTTCAATGATCTAAAACTCACCTCAATAAATAATTTTATTCTTTCGAGTAATTACATAATTTTAACCTAAATTCAAAAGTAAAAAAAAGTTCACTCCAATCCAAAAAACGCATAAAAAAAAGAGATGGAGAATCAATATTCAAAAAGTTTGATTCATGCTCTAGAAATATAGAAGGTTGAGATATCACTTCACTTCATTTTTTTAAACCATATAAAAAATTAATTGGTTAAACTATATATGATGTAATTTGGAAAGATTCTTTAAATAGAATGTAAAAATTCAAACTAAACCTTCTTAAATATCTATGGTTACTTATTATACTTAAAAAAAAGTAATAGTGGAGGATTGTTTCTCTGTTTATTTTGAGGGTAGATATTGCTTAAAATATTAGAAACTGTTTGGAGTTTTGATGACGACTAAAGATGTATGAAACCATATTGAGTCTATAAGGTTTTCATAACATGATACACATAAGCTTGATCATACGTTGTCAGGTAGTAGGCCATGCAATTTCGAGTTGACTGATTAAAGATTCAGTTACGTTATAAGATACGTTGTTTGAGGTATGATAAAAGTACAATAAACAATTATTTCGAAACCGATAAGTACATATTGTACAAGTAACGAATTAGCATTCATCTCGGGTTTACTAACAAACATATCAAAAAAACGAGAGAGTTGTACAGATGTTAAAGAAGTTGCATGGATTGCATAAACTCAATGACTTTATAGAAGAATAGAATGCACAAGAAAAAGTGGTGGGGTGGTATCCAAAGCATCAGAATCAAGCACACATCCATGCATAAAACATATATACATATATATATATATATATATATATATATATATATATATATATATATATATATATATATATATATATATTCCATTGAAAGGGGGGAGATAGGAACTTGGAAGACTCTTTTTTGAGACACAACAAAATGTAAAGAATAAAGCTTTGGTAAGAAATAGCTTTTGAAGGAACCCAATTATTCCTATGCCCAAAAAGAAGTCCATGGGAGAACCAATATTAGGGTTAATATATTGCCTCACATCTATGTGTATATCCATTCCTTACAAGTGAAGTCACCCTTTGATTTCAAGATATGACACTTTTAATATCATGGGTGTTGGGTAAGTTTCAACCAAGTAGAATTGGTCATCCAAGCTCTATAATCTAACCTTTGGTTGAGTTAAATAGCTAGACCAACTCAAATGGATAGGAGAAACTTGACAAAAGTATCGAGTTTGTCGAGAGCTGACAAAGTTTGATGATCGGCGACTTATCAAGCTAAAGTTAGGAGTTAAACTTTAACTAGAAAGACTTGTCAAGCTATAACCTGAAAGATAAGCATTGATTAAATAAACTTAAGAGACCTTGTTTATCCTTGTTATGGTAATAACAAACTTCTAATTTATTGTTAAGCTATGCCGGGAAGTGAGAGATTAATATTAGAATGGAAGAAGTGAAGTTTGATTGTTATAAATTTTAAATGGGTTACAATTTATAATAATTTAGAGTTTTTAGGACTTTTTATTTACTTTAGGTTACAATTACAATAATTAATCGATTAATTATGACTATTAAATTTGAATGTTACAACTCTTGGAATGTCTTTAGTAGTTTCATTTTGAGGCTATATAAAGCCATGTATGAGCATCATTTTGAGGCTATATAAAACCATGTATATTGTATTTGTAAGAGACTTGAAAAATATAATAAAAGAAGCATTTGTGCTTTTCTTTAGCCAATGACTAAGTTTCTTTGCAATTCTATGTAGTTTAGGTTGCATGTAGAATCATTCAAGCTCGACATGATCAATCTTGCTTGTGGAGTGATTCGAATCTCAAACAAGTGTTCTTGTCTTGAGATAGTTGATCAACAAGAATCATTCAAGCTAGACATGATCGATCTTGCTTGTGGAGTGATTCGAATCTCAAACAATGTTCTTGCCTTAAGATATTCGATCAACAAGATAATCCGAATCTCGGGTAGTGGTTCCTTATCTTATCACAACTCAAGCTTCAATGCAGTACAACAAGATAATCCGAATCTCGGGTAGTGGTTCCTTATCTTATCACAACTCAAGCTTCAATGCAGTAAAGGATTAAATGTAGCTTAGCATAAAACTGATACAGAAGTATATATATATATATATATATATGAATCCATTATGAGAAAGAACCGCAGAAACTAACCATAGTGAGATATATATATATATATATATATATGAATCCATTATGAGAAAGAACCGCAGAAACTAACCATAGTGAGATATAAAATTGCCCTGAAAGAGAAACATAGTGCCATTGACAATTTTGCTAGTAGAAAGCTTCCAACGCATATTAATGGTGATAAATCCGAAACTAACCATAAAAACAAGTTGAACAAATTGAGAGTACCTTTTTATTCATACAACCATCGCTGTTAAGCTCGCTCAAGAGAACTGAGAGTATAATTACATCTCTGGAAAACCAAAAGAGAAAGCCAACCAATTGCTGCAAATAGTAGTAATGCTACTCGATATGGGATCTTTTCTTGGTGGTGTAAGGGTAGTACTCCTTGCCATTGTCAATTCTTGTGGTCTGACCACCAACATCAATTAGTGCAGAAGTAACTGCCAAAGCAGCTCCAGCAGAAATGGCTGTTGGAATACTTTTTCCTGAAAGAAAACAATAGCAACAGTTAACCACTTTCAGACCAAGTTTACTTATTAGGGACATGAAAAGAAAACAGATTAGAAACACATCCTAAAGCAACGGATCAGAAAGATGAGAATGACACTTCAATTTACAAAAATGTGCTGATAGGGATTATTGTGACAAATATAACAATCAAGCTATACCCATATCAGGCAATTGCCACCTCTTGCAGGACAATTTCGAGTACTACATAGTGTGGATACGACTTTCATTCCTTCAGCCAAGTAGGGGTTAATTCAGAGTGACATGGGGTCTAGAATTATTAAAAACAATTATGAAGAAAAGGTCATAGCTTTAGCGGAGGAAGTAGTATTACAAGAGTGTTGAAATTCTCTCCCTCCCTCCTTTGCCTTAGATGTGTGTGTGTGTGTGTGTGTGTGTGTGTGTGTGTGTGTGTGTGTGTTAAATAGCACTTCCCTCCAATTTGCCCCATTTAATTTAGTTGGAATGCAAACTTTTGCAGTCCAAGTCCAAACTTATGCCTCTGTCCTGCCTAAGAGGTTGTTACTAAGATGCAGACTAATTATTTGTCTTTAAGGTAGAAACTTCGATAAACATAGGAGAGGAGAATTCTTTAGGGAGGTGAAGACTAGGATGGAGGCTGCCTATTAATAAAGTACACAGAGGTCTCACGCTCTTTGGAACACAGAGTCTTGGCATCATAAATATAGCTAAGTGAAACGACACATTTTTAACCAAATGCATATTGTGGTTCCTTTTAGAAAGTAATGCACCATGGTAGGTATGGGAAGGATAAGTCAGGTGTATCACCAGGTGTAGAAATGTCCTGCAGCAGATGCTTGCATATTTCCAAGCTTAGATATATTTTGGATACTGCAGCCTTTAGTTGCATGTTTTAGGTGGGAGAAGGCAGTAGAGTTAAATTTTGGAATGACATCTGAACAAGACTACTCTCTCCTTTTATCTACTAGACGCTATGCTTGTTAGCAATTATGGAATGATTCCAATAGGCGTTCAATGTTGAATTTTTACAGTGATCTAAGTTATTCTGAATTGGGCTACCGGCTAGAGGTATGCAGGTTGAATGGTTTTTCCATTTTTAGATATCGTGGACAATGAAGTCTAAACAGGTAAACAATCGCCTTCCTTTCTTCTATAAATGCTAGATACCACTTCATGCCAAATTTGATTTGATTCACTGAAAAAGTGCCATACCCATTGCGACAAGTACTATTTTTTCTTTCTCAAGTAGCCCCAGCCCACCACAATCAATAGGCAAAGACAACACATTCCAGTATACAAGATGGCTTAGGTTCCTGTCTGAATTACCAGCCATACAAAAATTCCTCAACTTTTTTTCTAAACTTACCACTTTTATTTACCTAAACATAGGAAAATATGACATGAAATAGGTAGGTAAGGTGGCAAGAACTGCTTGTCAAAGAGCCAATCTCCCCCATTAGAAAGGTAAGACTTCCATTTTTCAAACTTATAAAGGACTTCATCTCCTTCCATGGGCTTCCGAAACTCTAGCCTTATGAATTTATCATGCACAGGCATCCCCGAGTAAGAAATTGACATGTTACAAGGTTGCACCCCATTTTCTTTGCAGAAGCCCTCAATTCAGCAAAAGGAATATTCTAGACCACAAACCTGAAGTTTTCGCATTTATTTTTAGGCTCAAATAAATATAAAAAATCCAATGTACCTTGGGTAAATGCTCTAATACTTTCCTATCATCTTTGCATATAAGTAAACTACACTCCATAAAATGAATATGTGAAAATGCTCCTGGTTCTCCTCAAGGAATAAAAATGTTCAAGAAAACCCCACAAATACCATGTTCAATCAAACTACTTAACACATTTCCAATCAAGAAAGAAACAAAATGACAAAAAAATCTGTCCTTTTAAATGTAGCCCTCAACAGCCCTCTTAGTCTACCATTAAGAAAAATAACAGAAAGTTTTATTCCATTAACGGGAGCCTAGTGTTTGCAATTACACGATCCAAGAATTTGTTAGTCCATTTTATCCATCTCATGCCCAGGCCTTTGCTTTTAAACGCCATTAGCAAAAATTCCTAATCAACTATATGGCTTTCTCAAAGTAGACTCAAGTATCCATTCCCACCTTTTCTAGTTTATATAATCTTACATTCCTTCAGTCTGAGCATGGATAGAATCAATTAGTTGCAATCCTTCCTCATGAGCATTTTGACTTGTTGACATTATGGAAGGCAACATATACTTAAAACTTCTTTTTTTAAGAAACCGAAGTTTCATTTTGAAATAATGATAGAAAAGATGAATACGAAAAAAAAAAAAAAAAAAAAAAAAAAAAAAAAAAAAAAAAAAAAAAA